ACACACACACACACCCACACACACACACACACACACACACACTCTTTCTGCTCTTCTCCAGCTCTCCTTTGACACATTCCTCATTACGGGCATGTTTGGCAGCACAAACTCTTCCTTCTCCTCTTCTTCTCCTTTCCTCTCCTCTCCCCGTCCCTCCGCCCGTTTCTCAGTCTTTTTCATTTGCTCATTCTCTCCTGGCTTGCTCATTGCGTTCGAGCCAGCTCGGCAATCAAAGGGAGAGAAAACACGAATGAGAACGGCGAAGGAGGGGTGGGGTGGGGGGTTACAGAGAAGATGCTCGCTGGGATTTCAGTATGAGTCAGAATGGGAGAAGGGGAGGTGGGAAGGTAAGGTAGGCGGCTGTGAGGAGAGAGAAGAGCGTATGGGAGGGATTTTTTTTTTCTCCTCACTTATTTGACTGCATTTTCTGTTTGGAATACAGATGAGGACACAGAGACAGAGCCAATGGCTGGGCATGACAAACACTTAGGAGATCTGAACAGAAAATCACATGCATCCCAGCTTATGAATCAGGCCTCACGACAGAACGAAAGTTAAAAGCTGGACCGCCTGTGGACTGATTGCTCGGTCTCAGAAAATGAACTGATGGATCAACAATGAGAAACTAGAGATATCATTCAAAACAAGATTCTGAATCATCACGCTGAAATAAAAACTCGGATAAGATGGCGCTGTGGGTCAAAAATAGGAAAGGTGTTCCAATCATTCACCTACTGACTACTATCTATCGTCTGCATATGAATAAATTGTGTTATTGTCTTCAGACATCACTAAATTCATAATGTAAATTCAGCTTCTACAATTTTGATGCAAGATCTTTATCACTTCTGCAATTCATGGTGAAGCAAGTTAAAATGAACAAGAAAATAATAAGGGACTAATGCAGACGGACAAGACATTTGTATATTTATCTAACGGATAAAAAAAAAAATCAAGCACCAATTACTTTTCTTCTAATAATTAGTGTTTATTGTGTGTTGTGGTGGAGTTGGATCCAAGTAAGCAGGAGAGATGGAGTGTCGTGTCAAAGGGGAAAATTTAATTGAAGAAACTTCAAAAGATGAGGAGCATCTTCAAGAGACAGCAGAAAGCATTTGATGAGAAGAACAAACAGCAAAACAACCTGGCAAACAGGTAAAGCAGGTAAAGCACAGGACAACAGGTAAGCAGCCAGTGGTGGTCAATGGACAAATTTGACAGAAAGATAATAAAACTGAGAGACTCATAGGTGCTTGGCAGGTGATTATGAAGACAAGGACCAGGTGAGACCAGTCAGCAGAGACGCATGCAGCCGTAACGGGACATAAATTGCCACAAAAATGAAGAAACTGGAAACGGAACAAGACACACAAAGCTTTAAGTTTTTTTTTTTTTTTTTTTTTGCCTTGAAGGTTCATTAGAATGAGTCAAGCACACACTAAGTGAACTAATTTGACCTGAATTGAAATGTATTACACTTATTACATGTTCTGTAAAATCTTCTTTTTGTGATTGTTAACACTTTTACTCTATTTGTGAAACCTACAGAGAGGAGAGATGGTTCTGATATTGAGTATAACAGAAACACACAAGAATGACTCAAACAGAAAATCAGGTAAAATGATCTTCATCTTGTAGCTCATGAGCAGGAAAACTCCTTCAGGCAGGAAACTCTACATTCATTTCAAAGCATTAGACTACATTGAACATTAAATATTAATCACTGACATAGGAAGCTGTGAATTATTTGCCTTTAGAAACACAAATGTCTCTAACTGGATGAAGGTTAGAGCTCCACCAAAGATTCAAAGATAAGTAGTCTTTGAATCTTTGGTGATTTTCATATAGAGGTGAAAGATGCAAAACTAACTGTGTGGACAATAGATTGAATATTCATCAAAGTCACAGTGCTGGTATTCCACATTTACGTTTTTCAGCTAACAGCTACCTAATTACCTTAATTGAATGTGATGGTCTCCTTCTGAAATCAGTCATTAGAATTATGTTTTATAGACAGCACTTCTCAGGACTCATGAATGTATTTTTTTCCCTGCCAGCTGACACATTTCTGTGCTACAGTAAGGAGGAATAAAGTGTAGAGAATTAAAAATGATCAACATTTGATATCTAAATTAAACTGTCAGGAATGTGTGAAACTTAATTAGCAACAGGTAATATAATTATGTAATATTACATCAAAGTGTAATATTAAAGTCATTTATTTGCGATTTCTAAATACAAAGTCAGCGTTTATTTTGGAGTTGATGTGATACAGCATTAGAAGATAGGGCATAATTGGAAAACAAAATATGATTTTCAAAACTATTTTTAAGAAAAAAAAATCTGAAAAGTTTTGTTTTGTATTTAGCCTCTCTGAGTGTATGCTTTGTTGAACCATCATTTGCTACAATTACACCTGCAAGGTTTAATACTTTCTACTGACTTTGCACAACATGAAGAAAAATTGGACAAATATAATTTTTCGAATCTTTTCAGTCAGATTCAGGTCTAGACTTTGGCTGTGACTTTCTTAAAGATAACGTCCCTACCATCATGTGTCACTATGACGACAGTGTATTCAGGGTGATGTGCAGTAATAACTTTTTTTTCTTGAGTAGATTTTTTTTATTTTGCTTCAAAGCATAAATTAGTTTACAAATCAAAATACCTTCTTTGGGTTGTGCTTATCTCCTACAGTCTTTGTTGTAAACTTTTAATGAATATTTTAGTATAAACAATGGGTTTCCTGTTGACTTTCATTCTTAAACACATAATTGCACAGCTGTACTGCCAACATAATCCTCCACCTGAGCCGTGGCTCTCTGCTGCTCCTCCAGCGTCATGAGCCTGTTGGATGCTTTCTGAGTGAAGCTCTCGCTGACAAACCTGTCCATATAGGCTCCATTTATAAAGGACATGGGCTACAACATAAAATCCCAGTAAAATACATTGACATATGCGACAAAATGTGTTTAAGTTCAAGCAGCATGAATCCTTTTATATAATTTTAAAGTTATGAAAGGTTTTCTTAGTGTGTGCACAACTTGCACATTTCCAGGCCTGTCCTTGGTTGCGCCTGATGAGCAATTAAAGATTTACCAAAACTTTATAAGGCAGCTCTTACTGAATACAAAGTTTCCTCTACACAAGTTGATTATTTAAAATTGTATAATTTTATCCTGAACTGAAGCATCTTACAACTAAAAGATCACTTCAGAACCTCTTAATTTAAAATTCCTAACCAATTTAAGCTAATGAATCTTTTATTTTAAATCTGAAGGTAAAGGAGGCGTGCGGTGGCGGCGGCGGAGGAGGAGGTGAGTGGCGCCGGACGGGGACCGGTTATAACCTACACCTGCTCCAGGTCGGAGGCGTGTGTGGCTCTGAACTTTTCTCTCAACTACTTGCGTGACGTGATTCCTTTTTTCTCTTTCTTTCTCTCTCTCAACTCCACGAAACATTTCTTTTATGTCCTCCTGAGATTTGTATCCAAAGTGCGTGTAAATTATAGGAGCCTCTAGATCCGCCTGCCTACGTAAGTCTGACACACTTCTTTTACGCACGAGGATATCCCCAAAAATCTCCCCCAAATATGTGACTTGAATACAAACTTGTTCTGGGGCGCAGTTACGCACGACTCTTTTCAAACCTCTTCTTTTGGTTCCGTACTAAGATGCGATCAGTCTTTGATCTATTCTGTAACGCTTTAGCTTTAAAATCACAATACGGTGCAAAAAAGAGGGAAAAACGTGCGCTGCATTCAAGATTTCTGCCGTTTTAATGCAGGCAGCTGCAGTGATGCATCACCTCGTCTGAACATCACGATCCACAAATCGCTCAAACTGCTGGCCACGTTTTAACCCGACTACAGGTGTCAGCTGCCATCTTTCACACTCATCGTCTCGCAAATGAGAATTGAGAAGAGGGATGATCGTTTTCCCCCCAAATCTGATGTTTTTACCCCGAAACGCAAAATTGCAAATGTATATTTTACAAGCTTTTGCAAAACCTACAGCTGCAACTGCGTCTAGGAGCTTATTCTGATCAGCTGATTGGGTTTGATGTCATCCCTGCCTTCAGACAGGGATGGATTTCAAACTCCTTCCTTAAAACACAACAACAACAAAAACTTTATTGTGTAAAATTTCACCCTCCAGAACGCAACAAAACATACTATTTTAAATATCCTTTTTTTAAGTCCTGCACAGTGATTCGAGCTATACTTTTCCTCCGCTTTATAAATAGCTGCACTCCGTTTCTGTGACGTGGGATACGCACGTACATGTGTAGGTGAATCTTTGAATGAGCCTCCCCCCTCCTCTTCCACCTCCCTCCGCCACTCCTCCCTCCTACGCCCCCACCCCCCTCCTCTACTAGATACTACGGGATCTCTATAAAAAGCCTACGGTTTGATGGGAGAGCCCGGTCTGTATTGGGAGAGCGACTTTGGAGAAGACGGACGGCAGTTTCGCGGGGATGAAGAGACCAGAGAGGGAGAGATGTTTCTATGCAAAGCGCGGCCAGTCAGGAAACTTTAACTGAGGTAAGTTGAAATCCTATTTACTCCGGAGGAAAATGTACGTAAAACTTAGATAAATTAATACATCTAATGAGGCGTTTAAGGATCTTCTTTTTAAAAGTAAAAGATGCTTTAAACTGGTTTTCTCGTGGAGAGCCGCTGGTTGGAAGTTGCTGCAGTGTGAGTCATTTTCTCTCCCACACCTGAAATAGATTATCTCTGATAGAAACTAGGGGCAAAATCGCGATGAAGTGTATATGCTCTCTCTTTTATTTCTTTAAACCACCCAACTTTATATATATATATATATATATATATATATTGCTGGTTAATTAATGTGCCTAATTAAGGAGTGGGGGATGCTACTTCAGCTTTATCGGGATGGGAAAAGATGTGGAAATGTCACAGTGTAGTGTACAGGGATGTGCTCATAAAGTGAGTGGGGTGGTTTGGTGGGCGGATGAGCGACTCCTTTAAAATCTCTCGAGGCACCGGGAGGTTTCCGGTGATAGTGATGACATTATTGCCATCCCTTTCTTCCGGTGGTGCGCTAAACTGCTCACCTCTCTCTCTCTCTGTCCCTTATCCCCCTTTCTCCTTAACTCTCTCCCCCAGCCCCCCCCTTGTGCACTTCCGGTCGGCGTTTCCTTCATCTTTTTTTCTCTCAGATCTAATTTTGTGACGTCGTCAACTGGTGAAGTCATTCCTGCGTCATTCTTGCGCACTTTGCAGATGATACGCAGTCACCTACTATAACCCTTTTAAAGGCATTGTGCTCGCTCGCTCGCTCGCTCACGCACGCACGCGCGCACCGCAGTATGATCTTCTGCGTGATGTGCGCACGGCTGTCAGTGCGAGAGGAACGTGCATTAACAGCACGAGGGTGGGAGTGGGTGGTACGAGTCAATGAAACCCCCTTGTTCATTCACAAGTCTTTGTTAATGCATACAGTAGCTCTGACTTTGGTCGTGGCGGTAGTTAAGTGTTAAAAAAGAAAAGTCATAAAACTGTTCCGTAACACTTTTAAATTATAACAAAATAACTATGTTGTTGTTCAATACTGAGAAATAAACGGTGTTCTTAACATGTATCATGTCATTTCTAGAGCGAACCGAACCGGTGACGTGTAGATTTACGACCGGTGATGCCTAACAACGCACTCGGAGTCCAGCATTCGCGCCCTTCTTCAAGCACGCGCATCTCCTCGCGGTTTCTCCCCAGCGCCATGGAAACCGAGCTAGACCTAGTCACTGCCCACGCGCTCTGATAAGACGCGGCAGAATGAAGCGAGAGCCGATTGGTGCGCTCGTGAGGTGTCGTCACACGCGACGCGCGAACCCCTCGGGGGCTTTCGACCACGTGACGGCAGTCGTCACCTCAGCACCGTCTATTAGGGAATTGGATGAGGTTGTGACAGATGTGACGTTACATATGCGATGAGGTGAAAGTGCCTTCAGACTAATTGTAATCTCAGGTTAAAGGTCACAGCACAGCTGTAGCAGAGGGGGCAAATGGGACTAAAATTTGCCCCCTTTCAGTTGCTGGGGCGGCTGGTTCAGCACCGTGGACAGCAGCGATGTGACGCTCAGCTGTGTCGCTGTCCAGGCTTTGGTGCTGAAACGAAAACAACTGTGAACTTTGGAAGAGTCTGTAGATAATTTGCAGGAAATGGATAAAACATTAAGCCTGATGAGTGATTTTTATTTTAACTTAACCATGTGACTGGTGGTGGTTTTCAAAATTATTTTTGAAGGAGAATGAATGGGGAGAAAAATCATACTTTTCTAAATATTTAATGTAGCTTTCAATGTAGTTATGGAGAGTATTCAGGTTAAATTCAACATGAACACACAGCATGCAAAGACTTCAGGAAGAAGGCAATGGTGGAAGTCTGGAAGAAAGAAAGAAAGTGGATAAAAAGGTGAAAAAGAAAAACAGGAGATGTATTATAGAAGGCAGAATGAAAGGATGATTCATAAAAGGAAGGGAGGAAAGAAAAATAAAAAGGAAAGATGTGAGAAAGGGAAGAAGCAAACTGGGAAGGATGGATAAAAAAGGGAATATAGTTTAGAAAAAAATAAGTTTTCCTTACTCCGTTTCCATTATTTCCATGCTTAGCAAGATGTGAGCAATACTTAAACCGAATTTTATAGTTTTCATTCTTTTCTGGCCTTTTCAATACATTGCAAAAACCCTTAAATTATAATTTTAATTCAAAGGTTTTCTATCTAGCTAGCTAAAAACTGTTAACAGGTTTGGCAGGAGCTGCTCCTGTGCTTCATGAGACCAGGATGGTCAAATCCAGTTCAGTTGTTATTGAATGCTTCTCTCCTGTTTCTCAGAATATCTCCATCACATGGACACATTTAAGCACTAACTGGGTCAGGGACAGGAAAACTGGGGGTGGTGATGCCTCAGGGCAGCCTTGAGAAAGTTGGTCCGGGAAAAAAAGGAAACTTGAACATTTTTAAAAGTTTTTCAGAAAAAGAGGAAGTAAGTCAGATTTTTATTACAAACTGAAACCGCAATTTGGTTTCTTCACTTACATTCACAACAAATGTCAACTCAAGGAATTTTACAACACAGTTTTAAATTGATATAATTTTATGTAGAAATATGAATCTATAAAAATACACATCAGATCAGCTCAGTCAAGTAGACAGATTTACATTCAGAGGCATTCATCTGAACAGGAAACCCACTCTGCTGCATTGAGTGAATTTGTAGCAATCCCTGTAAACCATTTCATAACTTAAAAAAGAACTTGCTAAATTCTAATTTAACTTACTGCATTTAAATAATAATGTTTCAACTTGGTGCTTAAACCATAAACAAATAGAAAATTAAAGAAAAGTATTATTTTTATTTTTTTATCTGCTATTTCAACTTTCTCCTTTCTTGGTCAGTAGTTTTATTTTATTAATGGTAAATCTCTTTTTCTCTCTCTCTCTGCTTGTTGCTGCAGATTTCCACATGGAAGAGGACTTTGCCCCCTTCTTTTCCTCATCCTGCCAGTGCATCAGCACCTTGGCTTTAGACTGCTTACTGCTTATACAGTGTCACAGTACAGTAACAGTCTACAGTCATGGCTACTGAAGCCTGGCGATTCATCAGACACCTCTGTGAGGAGAGCGTAGATGTGGAAAACAGCCCAATGACAGTGCGCAGAGCTTTTAAAATGGCCGACCTGATAGCAGAGTGTCAACGTGTGAGTCAGTGATCTTGCTCTGCCTCTCTTTTTCTTTCTCTCTCTCTCCTTCTCTCCTGCTGTGTCTGTTTTTTCCCTCCTGCTCAGAGAGGAAACCTGTGTGGGCTTGCATTGGGGGAGTCCTACACCCTGCAAGTGCGTAACGTTCACACTAAAACCAATGAGACGTTGCAGTTTCCAGTTACCATGCCAACTCTAGCTCCACCTCAACCCTGCTGTCTCCATGGCGACCGTGGCTTTAGATTGTTACTCTAGCAACAGCACCATGGTAACAGTCTACAGCCATGGTCGTTAGGGGCAGATGTCATCAGGAACAGAAAATTTGAGGTCAATAAGTTTTATGTGTTTGTTAAAGAAAAACATTGAACTTTTTTTTAAATAGCAATGCTGTCTGTCTGTCTATAATATACTTAGACATTTTAATTTTATTTAGTTTTATTACTGCAATTAAATAAACATGACACAATTCAAATCAATAAAGTATTAAGATAATTCTTTAAAAATACATACACAACCAGGAATTATTGATAATAAATAGTTTGAATTACTATTATATGCTCCAACTGACAGACTCAATTATTTGCTTAAGAGAAATCAATTGGAGAGGATTTAAGTTTATTTTATTAATCAGTTTAGCGATGGTTTTAGTTTGTGGAATATTTTACTAATCCTATGTATAAGTGTAGTTGTGCAGTCAAGCATGAATTAATTTTCTCATGTCAAGTTTCATTAAAAGGAATTTGACTTTAGATTGTCCAGCTTTGATGAAACGAGCCTTTGGATGTGCTACATATTGATTATTGAAGGTAAAGATAAAATCCAAAGTCAGACCTACATTTAAATTAGCAGGGAAAAATAACAACAAAAAAGTTTTTATATTTCACAGAATTTTAACCTCCAAAAATAATTTTCACTTTTTCATTATTATTCAAAATCCAGAGCATTTCTTTGTACCTTCAGTCATTTAGGACACATGTGCACACACTTTGCTCCTTTTTTACTTTTTCATTATTATGTATAGCATGTTGTTTATTCATTACAGTACAGTGATGAATGCAACCAGTATGAGCTGCACAGATGAGTCAGCTGGCTCCAGCACCTGTTCTGCTCTCTGTTTACCAGACCAGAGCGGCTTTATTCGAGAGCAGCAAAGCAAGGAATCCCCATTGGGCATCAGCTCTGAAATCTGCAGGAAGATTCAAGCACATTCTGGATGCTACACAGGTGGAATAACATATACGTATAGAAATGCACACACAGAAACGTATATATTTATCAGCCCGCAACAAACATATATACTCAGAAATAAAATAGACCCAAGCACTCAAACGCTGCAATATCCAGAGTTAGCCTGCCCTCTAGCGGGCAGATTATGTCAGTGTTCCCAGATGTAACTTATTCTATTAAACATCTTAAAAAGAAATTTATAAAAGTCTTTTGAATTCATTTTGAGTCTGATTTACTAGAATACATAACTACTGTGACAGATAAGACAATATATGATCTCTCTTTGGGATTTAGAAAGAGATGTTTATGCACTTTCATACAAAATATTTGTACATCTATCCGCCTATGAAATGCCATAACACTATTAATGCTTTTGTTTTTCAAAACAAGTATTGTTTAACAGATAGCAGATAAAATGTCAATGGATTGATTATCAAAAAAAAAAAAAAACTCCTGCTAAATAATTAAAATGACCAAAGGATTTACATTTAAATCTGTCAGTTACCAAAAAGTCAATTTTTATATTGAACCAGTTATTTTATTTTTACTGCCCACTTCTACAGTAAATATATAACTTATAAGTATGAATTCATCTACATATTTCTTTGTATGAATTAATTCTTTTTACTTTCTTTCTTTAAAAGTCAGCAATATATGCTTATGAAAGATTAATGAATTCCAGATATTTAACAATCTGAGGTTAATGGTAAAATGGATTATTTTATCATTAACCATCCTTCTCACCCATTCCCAATACAAATGTAGAGAATCATCTAAATTATGAGATGGATTATTGAATCAATCAATCCTCTGGGAATGGTAGGTTATAATAATATGATATAGTCTTTCACATATGTATTTTATTTTGACCATAATCACTCTCTTTTTACTTAAACCTACACATTTCATGTGCATTGATTTTTTGAGGTGATGTAAAGTAAATAAAAACTCATGATCAGAAGTTTGGATTTGTCGTTTGTCCTCCACCCCCTGCACTGTAAAAGCTCATGTGCTGATCAGTGAACAACAGCACATAAACTCTTACTGTTCAGGGCAAAGAAGTATTTAGTTCCAGGGCAATCCTTCTAAAAAAACAACATCCAAACAAATTACTTACCTGCTTGTCCTTAACCCAGTCCTGCCCCCATATGGTCATTAACCATATGAACAAGTTGAAATGTTTCAGATTTTAAACTTGATCTGATTGTCTTTAAAAACAAATTTTTCAGCTCAAATTCCTCTTTTTTTTTTTTTTTTTTTTTTTAGAGTTGAGATATCTTCATTGGTATTACCGATTGGCATTATCAATCTGAAATCTATAGCCATAAACACTAATTACACTTTACAAGACACAGAGGAGGAATCACTTCTTAAATGGCAAAGTGAACAATCAATAAAAAATATGATCACTTTCTTTTTTTTGTTTAGCATTTGCTATATATTAAATCAAAAACCACTAATGCATTGAATCAAAAGCTGTAAATGAGATACTAAATCCACCCAGGAGGGCAACGATTCCTAACACTGTGCACATTTTATGGGGGGAAGCCCATTCTCACCACCAGATGTCAAAACAAGGAACTGAAAGTTGTTTCAGTGTCACATACACACTGTACCACCATGGACAGACAGCCATCTTGGTCAGGTCAAAAATCCACCATTAATTTATCTACAAAAAACATAGAGCCATCTCTCTTCTCTACTTACAACTGTCTGAAACCAACCAACATTGCACAACAGCACTCAAATTTTTGTGTTCAGCATGAGCCAAAGCATGCCTTACTTGTTTCCACCACAGCCCGTAGTCGCGATGACTAATATTTACCCTGGTATTGTCAGTCACGCACCAGCAGGACAGCCAAACCACAGCTGTCCATGCCAAGGACCCTGACCATGTTCAAAAACAAGACAGACTGGGGAGAGAAGCACACAAATGACTGCAAAGGATTTTCTACACCAGACATGGGGACGACCTAATCCATGTCCTGAATTCACCTCATCTCCTCTTTTTTGGCGCCAAATCAACACAAACCCAAACCTCTGGAAATGATAGCATGTTAAAGGGACAGAAACAGTCACACTGAGTGACCGACACCAGGAGATCAAATCCACTTATAACCGTTTTTAGGCAGTTTTTCCAGTGTATTATCTCTGTCAATGTTACTTTATTTTAAAAAAAGCAGAAAAAAGTTAAAAATAGGAATAGAAAGTAATCATAGAATATACTTTAAGTGAAGTGTGGTCACCCCTGTTTTAATCCAGGAGAATCTGGTTGTGAGACCTGAATGATCTTGCTTGAGAATTGGGGAATCAGAGCTCCTTTAAATAAAGAAGCTCAAGCCTGAGGGAATTTATAGATAATCGATAAATGCAGAAAAAACATGCAAAAATCCAAATGTCTATCATTTATGTGCCTGTAGGTATCTAACGTAAGCCTCTGAAACTGTCAACATGTGAGATAAAGAGAATGAACTAAAGTAAAGGAAAGTTCACAGTGTCCACAAAAACAAGAAAACCACAGAGGAAAACCAAAACTATGTGAGAACTATAAGAAGACCAAAGTTCACCAGCACAGAGGGGAAAAACACGAGCAGTCACCCACCCACACCCACACGCACAAACACTCTGTATGCATCATACAATGTTGATTTCTAAATCAATTTCATGCCAATAATTGATATCAGTCGACTTATGCTGCTGTTTCTTTTCTTTAAATAGAAATTCAACTGACATCTTTAAATAGGCTCCCATCTGTTCCTGCTTTTTATTTGTCAGCACGCGGCACATGTGCCAGTCACACGGCAGGTCCTTCCAGCACAACCTCACAGCGTGAGGCATCTTTTCCTCTTCTGTGGTGAACTGTGCAGGCAGGCCTGTTCACAGCGAAGCCCAGTCACCCACAGAAACAGACAGAAAAAGAGGCATGGTTTCAATCCCATGTTAAGGCTGGACACAGGCCCGAGCTCTGCAGTGTCCCATCCTCTGCAGCAGCGCACCAGTTCAAGTGGGTAAGTAGTCACTTAAACTAAAAGCTTTACGATGATCAGCATCCTCTTTCTGATTGTGGTAATGGTAAAGAACAATAATACAGATGAGCAGATTAAAAAATGAATTTAAATCCAAAAGTTGTTTGGCCAGTAGATTAAAAAATAAAGTCCTCAGCTGATCGGGTCAGTCAAAGGTTTTGTCCCAGGTAGAATGGTCAGCTTTGGTCTCCTATCTCCGTGTCCTGGCCCGTGGGATGACCAGGCTCTTTGGAGTTTAAGTTCAACTCTTTTATAGACACGCACGCCTCCAAATCGCCCCTCCCCTCTCTCCCATCTCCCATAACAACAAACGCTCCAAAATCAAAATAGAGCCCATCTGTGCCCTGACACACCCCTCTGGCTCCCTGCTTCAACTCCCCCAAAAAATCCGCCGAGGCTGAAGAAGGGGGGAAAAAGTGATAGCTTGGTAGTGGAGAAAACTTAAAACGTGTCCTCGCTCTCCCCTGTTTCGGCTGCAGAGAGTGGAAGAGAGAGGCTGGGTAGCTCCACCCTCATCCGTCTCTGTCTCATTCCATTATTTCCCGGCTGTTGTGCAACAGGAGGAACGGATTCCTGAGAAGAGAGTCACGGCTCTGTTGTAAAACTTACTGGCAAGGGTGACCCTCTGTGTTTTTCTTTTACTGTTTCCCCTTCCCTCACTCACTCTCTCCATTGCACTCCACTTGTTATCAAAACCATGTGTATGAGTGTGTGTGCATGTGTCTTATAAGGTCTTGGAGGGACACAAGGGCCACAAGGGAACTCTGGAGAGAGTGAATATGAGTGGCTGAAAAGCTGAAAAAAAAACAACCAGATGTGCACAGCGAATTAAATCCAAAGAAAAAAAAAACGATGAAAGGTTGAGTGAGAGGCACTGCAGGTTTGTAAGACAAGAGCTAATGTGGAGTATTTATGGTGGAATTTTATGTTAACAGAGCAATTTAGGTTTATAACTGTGCGCCACAAACACACAGTTTATAACAAATCAGTCTCACAAGCTTTTTAGAAACTTTAGTTTTAGATTATACCCTTTATTTCCTAAGATAAAACCAAGGATAAATTGCTGAATCGCCAATAGTCGCTGACTGAATAATTAAACAAATTATTAATTAAAGAAAGAGAAACAAAACAACCGCAAACTACTTCTCAAATTCTACTGGACGTCTACAGATTAAACGTATATTTTGTGACAATTACATAGATCTAATATTTATGAGGAGTTTATTGGTGTTTGAGGAGTTTAATCAAACAGCTTTTGTGGTTTTGACTTTAACATCCTTTACAATCTGAGATGGAACAAGAGGCAAAAAAAGAGGCATTCCTAATCACTTCTCAACACCAGATCTGCCACTAAAGAAACAATTCAATGTTATCACAACTGTCAATGTCTTGGCTGGACAAGGTGTTTAAAACAACCAGAATTATCACTAAGAAGTACACATGATTTCAGTTCTGGTGCATAACGAGTTTTTAACAATCATAGTCGTAAATCCTTCAAAAGCAATAAGCAAAATAACACCACTAATCTAAACTCAAAACTGTTGTCACGTCTCAGAGAACCTTTCATATTTGTTGACAACTTTAAACAGAGTGTGCCATACAACAAGCAAGCCTGTGGCTTCCTCGTTTTATGGAGATTTTTGAGAATGCCACCTGCTTCGAATAAGAACTCATTCTGAGAAGACATCTGGTGGGACATAATGAAGAAACCCGACGACAAACTGGAGCTCGTGTTAGAAATGTAGGAAACGTATGCTTCAGTCACATGTGTACGGGGCAGGGCAGAGAGTGATGCTGAGGAAGAATCTGAGAGGAGATGAAAGAAAAGGAGAGCGAGGTAGAGAGGAGGGAGAGACAGAGAGCACACATCTGGAAACAATTGAAAGAGAGGAGCCTGACGTCCACATGCTTCAGCTACAAAAGAACAACACGTACTTGAACCCTGCGTAGTTTCTGCCTCTGCACAAACCTGTCTCTCTCTCTCTGTGTGTGTGTAACCTCTTCCTTCATCAACTAAAGTCACAGCATCATCCCTGTAATTCTCAGGTTGTGTAGGGTCAAATGTAATAAACCAGGGTTTCGACTTTGGTTCTGATAAAGATCCGTCAGAACTTTTCAGCAATTTTGCTGCAAATGTTAGCAAAAAGAAAAACAATGAAACATTTCAGGGGGTGTCATGTGGTTTTTATAAACAAGAGAAGCTGTGACTAAAAGCTTAAAGGGAAAAAGTACGGAGTATCTCTGCTGCTGAAGTGGCTGAGTGGATGTTTGAAATGGATCATTTTAGGGATTATTGTTTTCTAGTCAATTCCACAACAATCCCTAAAATAATCCTTGAAATGTAAAAATAAATTAAAAAAAAAACTTTGAAAGCATCAATATGTATAAAAACTAAAATGCTTTAGAAAAAATGTTCAGACTTTTAATTTTTACCCGTTATTCACAAGACAGATCAAACAATTACATGTCCAGTTTTTTCAAATCCTGCCAGGTTTTCTCTGCTTTAAATTATGTTTCGTCGGATGGCGAGTCTCTGACCCGGTCAAGTCTTCAACATGTTGTAACAACTAGATTTATCTCCATCCAGCTTCTCACCAACTTTGACCAGCTTCCTGCTGAAGGAAAGCATTCCCACAGCATGACACTACTTCCACTGTGTTCATCATTTACTAGGGTTCAGGTTAATTACTGAAGCATCCTTATTTTGTTTAGTTTTTGTTATGTATTTTTATAATTATGTGTCATCATATTAATCTTTTTATCACAAACTACAGAAATACAGTTGAATACCTTAAAGTTCCCATATATTTAAACACCATTTCAATTTAATTTCAAACAATTTATGATTTAACACATTCTTCACATCTATTTTATTAGGAAATAAAACCCATTACTGTGTTATGTCCATTTAAAACTATTGTAAGTCATATGCTTTAGGTATGCATGTATTTATACAAACGACTGAACATCCTCACACAAAGCAGACCTTAATAATCTTAAATAATCTGTTTTATTGCTCTTTCCATTAGATTTTCCCTGAGCAAGTTTACACTGATGTTACACCTCTCAGTGTAACAGCTGATCTTATTCTTATCAGACAAAAGAGTGTAAAAAGGTCCAGAACCAGATCCAATCTGTGTCTGGACCGAGTTCTACCAGTGATTCAGCTTTTATTCTGATGCAGCTTCTGACAGAAAATCAATCAGTGCTTTTGTTGTCTTACTGGAACCTCTTCAGAAAATCCTGATACATTTGCCTGTGAGCAGCTGCAGCGGGAACAAAATGGCCTCCAGGATGTATGAGGAGCTGAGGGTCCTGGAAGCAGGGCAGAAGATCCCTGCTCATGCTGTCAGGGATGACCCTGTCCTCCAGTCCGAACACGTGCAGAGACGGGATTTGGAGCGGCGCGTCGTAGAACTTTTGATGCTCCTCACAAGCGCTGCGGAAACCGGCAACAAGGATGGCAAAGCGGAAGTTGAATTCCAGCTCCAGTTTTTGCTCCTGGAGCGAACACAGCATGGCAACAAAAGCTGCTCCCTGACTGAATCCCAGGACGCCATCAAACGGGCCCTGGGTCTTCACGGCTTCTCTCACCGCCGATATGCTGTCGTCGAGGCCCGAGCTTTTCTCACAGTGCTGCTGAGCGCTGAAGCTCCGAGCCTGAATGTCAGAAAACCACCAGCCCCTAGGCTCTTCATCGCCCCCTGCTGCTGGAACTGAACTATTCTCCTGGTTAGGAGCCTCTAAAAAAAAGAAAAGAAAAAGAAGAAATTCACATTACTGTAACAGTCCACAGAGAAGTAATAAATAATGAGACACTTTTCTTTGATTTATGGTAAAGAAGCGAGAAAACATCTTTAAAATTTGATTAATTTTAAAGCTTTGACTTCTGTGCAAAAACAAACATCTTTAGCAGTAGTGCTACTACTACTTTATTTGCAACTAAATCTTTTTATGTATTAAATTAATATGCTTTGCCACATTTAAGAAAAAAACCCACAATGTTATTTAAACTTATTTCACATCTTTACTTAACTTCCAAACTATTTGACAAATTGCATATTTTTGCCTCACACTGATTTATAGAAAGCCACCTAATAGTGTTGAGTGGAAGCAACATTTTACAAATGCACACGTCACTTTGGCTATTTTATGTGATAGATCAACACAAAATAATGCATTACATATTGAAAATGTGTGACATGGTTTTTTATTCAGCCCAATTCAAACTTTCTCTGCAGAAGATACAAGTCTTTTGGGGAATATCTACCAGTTTTCACCTCCGGAGAAGTAAATCTTTGCCCTTTCTTTTTGCTAAATACCTCAAGCTCAGTTGAAATGGACGGGAATCTTCTGTTAACAATCAACAGATTCTCAAGTGGATTTGACTGAACCACTTTTACACATGAAAAAGTGGGAGAAAGAGTTAAACTAACCTCTGTAGCAAAAGAAGTGAAGGGGCTGTTTGTTATTCTTTAGGATGAATTATCAATGACAAATTTAGATATTTCCAAATGGAAAATGTTAGGTACAAGACAAAGATTTCTTTTTTCTTTCACATCCAGTTTAACTTCATAGTTTTTAGGACCACAAACATCCAGGGACACATTAAACTTTGATAAACACAGGACGCTCTTGTTTTTATTGCTGTAAATAAAGTCAAAATACTTTCTACATCAATAATGTGAAAAATATTTGACTCACGTTAGGAAATCATGCATTTTTCTTTTATTAAGACAAGTGTCTGAGTGGTTTTTCCTACTTTATTAAAATATTGAATGTGAATAAGCAGTTTTGGCCTGAGGTGAGAAAGGTTTATACTCCAATGTGCTCAATCACTCTATTGTAGCTTTGGCTGCACGTTTAGAGTTTCTTTTCTACTGTCATCCATATTTTTAACAACTTCCACCAGTTTCCCTTTCCCTGATGATAAAAACAGATGCTGCCTCCATCATGGTTTACTGGGGGTATGGTGAGTTCACGGTAATGTTGCAGCGTCAGTTTTCTGCAGTGCGCAGGATTCCTCTCTACCATAAGAACCTGCATGTGGGACAAAAAGTTCTGTTCATTTACTTAGACCACCTTCTTCTACGTGATCAATTTCATTCAGCTTCCATATCACATACTGTGTGTTGGTCTGTCACATAAAATCGCAAGAAATTAGAGTGAAGCTTGTGGTTGTAACGTAACAAAAAGAGAAATATTTGGAATCCGGTGGTTCGGTCGGCATGTTGAGTTTCTTGTTCTGTAATGTTTCCTTTAAAAATGACCCACCTTCTGTCTGCACGGTGAGCGGTGCGGTGATGTAAACCAGCTCCAGCTGCTTCTTCAGCAGCTTCCGCAGAGCTCCGGTTTTCTCCCGGAACGAGCTCCCGTTCTGACGGTAACCGTGAATGCACAGTACCCGGAGAGGAGCCATGGACAGCCGCTTCCACAGCCTTGTATCCGTGGAGGGATATTAATCCAACACTTAACAATTGCAAATTACAGGCGAAATGCACAGAATAATAAACAGCAGCGATGACGCAGCACTTAAATTCCTGAATTCAATAAAACTTATGAACTACGGGAAACTGAAACTTACAGGACATCAACCGGAAACAGTAAGTGCTTCCGTTTGGAATTTTCAGAGTAAAATATCTTACTTTTTTTCCCAGCCAATATCCTTGAAAACACATATTGCCAACATTTTTTGACCGAATAATTTGGTAATAATTTGCATCTTATATAAAAGTCGTCTTAAACTCAACCAACCTTTAAGCCAGCTGACATAACGCTGGCTCCACCCACATGCAGAGGTAGAGCAAATCTCCGACAAACAAACAGTGTTGGTGGAACTGAAGTGTTACTACAGACATTTTCCCCTCAAAAATCAACACTGAAGCAAAGAGGACAGACAACAAACTTCTCCAATGAGTCTGTAAGGTTATTTGCAGAGAAATCAAAGGGAAAGCCTAAGTCTTTTGCAGCCAGAGGAAGAATGAGGGGCACAAAGTCTCATGGATGTGAGTGTGAAAGCTGTCAGACGCATTTTGCACTTACAAAGTGGGTGAGTAATGACTTAAAAATAAACAGTAGCATAAAAAGGTGCTTAAATGTAAATGTTTTCATGCTGCCATACAGCTGAAATGGGAATTTACACACATAAAATCAAGCACCTATCCTTCACCTATTGAATACCATAACATTTTTTGTTTTGGCAAAAAATGGGATAGTTTACTACCAGTTACCATCATGTGGTAGTTGTTGTTGATCACAGTTTCATTCAAGAGGTCGGCTGCAGGGCCTGATCCATTTATTGTGTTATTCCAGTCTTTGTTTGGGCTTTGGAAATGTAATAAATTGTATTCTGTCCTCCAAACACTCTGGGTGACAGCTGTCAAGATTGCTTGTTCCCTACTGACAACGTTGAACTATGATTTCTATGAGTGCACCAACTGCCGTTTTCTAGCCTATCGCTGATTACTGATCTTTAAAAAGCCTGACTTGCTGATTCCGATTTCGACAGATGGCGATTTGTTTGTCTGAAATTTTGCTAAATATAGCAAGAAAGTCACTGAGAAAGGCACACACACAAAAAAAAATCTTAATTTGCAATATTTTATGTCCACAGGAGGACTACTGATTCCTGTGTCATAGAGCTCCTGTAATAAAAGAGGAATTTATTTCTAAAGGTGCCAGTTATTGTGAAGGGTGCCATAGGTGTAAGTCTAGATTTAAATAACAGAAAACATATTGTGTGTTATGTGTGATTGTCATTGTTAAATTAGTTGTGACCTTGAGTCTCTACCTCCTAATTTATAATATGTGTTTTTCAACTACTGTTGACTCTCATGATCCATGACGATGAGAGATTGTCCTATTTGATGTTGATGGCATTTCCGTATTTGGATTGGCCCTTTACACCTCCTCTGACAATTAGGTTTGTTAAATGTGCTTTGTTGCAGGGGAAGCACAGGTGTTGCCTTGCTGTGACGCACATGATAATTAGGAAGAATGAAAAACACCCTCACTGTCTCACACACACACACACACACACACACACACACACACACACACACACACACACACACACACACACACACACACACACAAACCCAGAGGGATAAGGCTGCTGTTGTTCTTCTGCAGTCCTGGTGCAGACGAGCCAAGTGCCGTTACCACAGGGGGGAAACTGGTGAAGGGGAGAGGAGATCCTCCCTGATTAAACAAACAGATTCCCTATTTGAGTATACTTTCATTCCTTTATGTAACAGCTGCAGTTCCAACCTCAAATTTAAACTTGTGTTTCCTAAAAATGTGGTAGAAACCTAAGTAGCACTTAAATACTGTGTTTTGAATGTACACAATATTCTATCTGATATTACCTAGACAAGATATTTAATAGATATGTGGGTGGGACAATAGAAATGTTTAATGCAGTCAAGAAAAAATAAACTATAACCTTTATAAGAGGCACTAATTTGAGAATTGGCATAGATGCAACTCGGCTACGGAGACGCACAGCTCAGATGGAGGAATGTGTTGGCAGGACTGCAAGTAGTTGTGCACTCTTCAAATCTGGCCTTTATTCTAGAGAAGCAAGAAGAAAGCTATTGTTGAGTGAAAGCCACAGGAAGTCAGATTCCACAAATCGTGGAGGAGACACATGAAACCAAACCAAAAAACAAACTAATGCTGCTAATCACAGGTATGGGTATAAATGCCATAAAGTCATTATCCATCTGAGCTCACAAATAACTCAAGACGCTAATATACCCCTAAGAAAAAGAAACAATGGGTGAGAAAAACTGATCATCAATAAAATTATGGCTGTTGAGAGATCAGATCAATGACCCTGCTTATCTAGTTGCAATATAATTATCTGCAGAAAGACCGTTTTCTAGGATCCACACTCATTTGATTATTGTCACCAAGCCAAATAATTCTATTTGACCAATCACACATGTTAATCAGACACAGAACCTCTGGCTAAAATATTTTTCACCTAGATCAAACTTATAAGGTTAAAAAAATGACATAAAAGGGACCTCAATAATTCTCCTTCACAACTGTCCACAAGGGGGCAGTGTTGTATCTTTGATAAAATATTGTTTCAAGCCAGAAAGCCGCGTGTCACGCTAAAACACAAACCCTTAGCAAGTGTATTTGTGGAAAAATGATCCAAAGTTGAGTCAAATAAATTATAAAAGAAATTCACTTCAAAGTAAAGAAAATCAGTGAATATCAGAACTGGTCCAAGCTACCAATTCAGGAAAATAGCGCTGCTGGAACAAAAATAACAGAGCAAGCCATGTTCAGGGAGGTCAAATTAACCTCCAGGTCGAGTCCTCCAGCTGATGAACTGTCCCAGAGTCATCTGCAGCAAGATTATTAGAGACACTACCATCCTGCAGTGATTCCTCAAGTCTGAGGGCACTTAAAAAAGGACAAGGAAAGTATGACGAATCTCCTGTCACTCACTGGGACTGGCAATGTAGGGCATGGAAAATAAAGATGGATAATAGAACAGGGGAATGGGGGGATCTCTGCGTCTATTCAATGTGTTTATAGTCAATTGTAACCTTCCATTCAGGGAGACACCACTGTTCTTATCCAGACAGGCGTATAGGGCAAAAACACAGTGATAAGACTGTTTTGTTGCTGTAATGTTGACAGCTGACAGATGCTATCATGGGGTTGGACACAGGTGACGGATGAGGCTGCAGAAGTTGCAGACCTGTCAATTCTCATAGCTGGAAATGTCAGCTCCTCCATTTTTGACACCATTATCATTCTTCAGCTGAGTATCGTCTCAGGCACCTTCTTGATTCTGCAGAGTCACTTGTTCACCGAACAAAAAGACATTTCCTCCATCATTTGGAATATTGAATAGCTGTTATCTGTGAGGAAATCCTGGCTGCAGAAATCGTATTGTCTCAATTTTTATTAAAATAACAAGAATACCCTGTTTGGATTATGACTGACATGCACTAAATGGAAACACAGATTGTGGTGTTTCTACTTTAGGCTAATTAGAATATTTCAGTAAAATCTGTCAGCTGCAGACTAATCTGCACAAACATGCAATAAAATGTCTTGAGTGAGTTTCAGCTCAGATAATGTTCCTGCCATGCAGTGTTTGAATCTACCCACCCTCTCACCTTTTCCTCTTACCTGCCTGGAAATCTGAGAGCTAGTTTAAGCAGAGAATTCAGACTGACTCATACAGACGTGACTCTTCATGAACCCAGCCGTTGGTGTTTGTCGACACTTTACAAACAAGATAGATCGGTATGAAAACCTTCCCATCAGTCATGTGCACATAAAAAAAAACAGTTAAAATTTTCTTTTTGCTTGCTTTATTCATAGAAATGCTCTGGTAGAATGATAGGTCACAAAAACACAAAACAAAACAAAAAACGAAATCAGTTCATTTATTTGTGACTGGATGTATCATTCAGTATTTTTGAAGTGCCTTTTAAGAGGTAACTGTTAAAACGTGACAGCATGTCTGTATGAAAAGATCTTTTTTAGCTATTCTAAAATACATGGGTTTAAAAACACACACAAGGATTTAAAACAAAAACGTACAGCTTCATTAAATTGCTTTTCTTTAAATCACAAGTACAATTACTTTCAGAAAGAATGTTTAAAATCCTATTTCTAAAATATTAGAACATCATAATCCTTGTTTGTTACTATGTACTGTGTGCTAAATACAGTCGGAGAAAAACGGCCACGCTAAAAACATTCTCTGGCACTTAATAGAAAAACTTTAAACAAAGCATGGTTTTATTTAATAATTGGCCTTTTTGTGATTTGTTTTGGAACTGAGGGTAGAACAGCGGTGCAGTTTGCTGCCCTACAGCAAAAAGATCTAACAATGGATGAATGGATAATTGATACTTTGCAAAACTTTTCTGTAGCTTGATATTAGTAACCAGCCAAAGACTAATAATTCGAATATTCCCAAACATTTTGAAAAAGATTTCTCACTACAGTATTTTTATTCCTGCAGTTCAATGACTGTTCTTACCTTTAACTAGAGCTTTATGCTTCACTCTTTAAGATGTGGAAGAGGAAAATCTCTACTAGCTAGGGAAATAATTTTCTTTTAAGAATACCACCCTCTGCTTGTGGTTGGGTTTTAAAAAACGTACTTATGCGTCATGATTCAGCTGTGTAATCCATTCACTGCAGCTGCTGAGCTGGAAGATCTTACATAAGTAACAGGCAGTCTCTTTGTGCTTTCGGTCATATGTTTCTTGAAAATATCAATCAAAAGAACCACATTGGCAGAATAAATTTAGTGGTAATAGTAGAAAAGATGAAAGCGTCTTCTTCACCTCATCATCCATGCCATATGCTTCACAGGTATTTATTGTGGCAGGTGCCTTTGTGCTGTTCCAGCACCGCTATCAGCGCTAACACCACCGAATCCTTTTTAATAGTACTGAGAACCTCAGTTTGAGCTTACAAGTTTGCAGCAGCATTGTGTGCAAAGTGGCCATAAAGTCAGAATAGTGGAAATGGTGCACTGAGGTATAATCAGTACAATTTCTGCAAAGCTTGAGCCCGCTGACTGGTCGAGAAGCAGAGCAACAAGGAAATGCTTCTGTGGAACTGAAAAAGTTCTGGTATCAGTTTTCTCATAATCAAATA